AGCGCTTTGAGACGTCGAGAAGCCGTGGAAAGCACTATATCAAAATGCAAGGATATTATTATTACTATTTCGAAGACGTGATCAAATGCAAGGATTATTATTGTTATGTTTTTGGTAATAGTATTAGGAAAAGGTGCATAGTGCACAGAAAAGTATCACGATGTGGAAACAGTATGATTGAATACAGTTTTGACAAGGCATCAATGCCTCTTGAAACCTGGGTCAATAGTGACACTTTTGTAGCACTTTCTTCAATTGCTACAAACAATAACGATAAACAATCGTGTTGACAATGCAAACGATAACGATCTACTATTGAATCAGGTAACTTTACTCACTATCCTTTTTCATCTTTTTGTTACAGTTTATCATTGTAACAAAAATAATCATCAAATTTGGTATAGCACCTTTCATGTCAGGAGGATGACGCAAACCCCTTCACAGGATTCACTGTTACGTTTAGTGACTGCGTATTGTGGCAAACACAGCAACAATTTGTGCACAGAAAGTGAGTAACAATTTTATTTGGGGGATTGTTGGCCATCATTTAAGCAGCAGGAAAAAGAACAAAAGTGAAGGATTCTGTGTATGCGTAGAACACGTGATGTTTTATAACCTAGGCACAAGCGGCATGACTGTTCAGTGTTCGGCCATGATGGCTGAATCAAGATTATTGATTTACTATTATGAATCCATGCATGGCACAAAGTCAGCATTAAATTGATTCCCGAGCCTTGCAGATGTCTGAGCAAGAATCTGTTATGTGATGGATTTGCAGCAGGTGCACGATGATGATATGTAGGAAGGCTCAGTCCATCCATCGTCAGGACTGTCGCCAGCACAAAGCTGCAATGTGATAATCATAGATCACAAGTAGTTTGTCCTATTGACGAGTCAGTGTCACCCAGCCGTGCCCTGCACCTGCCTAGCAGGTTACAATGCAAGCTGTGATAAAATCTGTCACTTTGACCCTGATCAGCAATTATCAAAGGAAAACCCTTCAAGGTCACTGCAACTGGATTGACCCCACAAAGCAAACGTCTCCCCAGAATGTGAAGGGGGCACTTGCTTCTAAAAGATGTTAAACTCATTTTAGGCAATGGATGAGAGTTGCAAGATGAAAGCTGTGCGCAGTAAGGCGGCATATAAAGTACAGTCCGGCAAACTGATCAATTTAGTGGGAGTGATACATGTTTGGATTAAATGATTTGACCTACTATGAGATAACTCGATGCATGATAACTCACTCTCCCAAGGATCCAAAATCTTAAAATTGGAGCTAAGCCATTGGAAGTGAGAATCAGAAAAGATTTCTTCACAATACAGACCAGTGGGAATGTGGAATGAGCGTACTTGGTAACGGAATGTTGGAATCCTGCCAACCCTCAGTGGTGGTCTCGACAGTCCGGTTCCTAAGTCGGGAGGGTCCGCAGTTCTCCAGAGCACTGCTGCTAACAGACCAGCCAGCCCAGCTTGTTGTCAGGACTTGAAGCACTCTGGGATGCTACCCTGTGTGAGGTTGCTGTATGAATGCAAGTTGTTGTTATTGTTGTTCAAGGGCCTGTGAGCATGGATTCTTCTCACTCAGTTCCTGCTAAACCTGCACTTTGTGGCATCCACCCGAAAGAAAAGGCACCTTGTAAATATAAATTTGTTATGTGTTGTAGGCTAAAGCCATAATGGTCCTAGTTGGACAAGCAGCAGGGATCTTGCCAGATAGTGCTCTCAATAATAATAATAATAATGGAGTCCTGTAGCTCAGTGGTTAGAGCACTCGCTTTGCAAGTGAGAGACCTGAGTTCAATTCCAGGCAGGGCAAAACCTTGGGCAAGTTTCCTTACACCACACGCCTAATAATAATCCCTCCAAAAACCAAAAACAATAATAAAAATTGGTCATTTTCAATCTACGACTGTTTGTGGGACATTGCTGTGCGCAATTGGCTGCCGCGTTCGCCCACAAATATACAGTCAATTCACTTTACAGTGTGTTCTGTGAAGCGCTTTGGGACGTCCTCCCGATGTGAAAAGCGCTATAGCAAATGCAAGGATTACTATTATTATTATAATAATCCTTGCATTTGATATAGTGCCTTATCACATCTTCGAGACATCTCAAAGCGCTTCACAGAATATACCTTAAAGTGAATTGACTGGATATTTTGTGGGCAAACACTGTAGCCAATTGCACACAACAGTGTCCCACAAACAATCGTGGATTGATTGACCAATTTATTATTATTTTTTGAAGGAATTATTACCCCCAGAAAAGCAATCTGCCAATCAACTAACAACCGGGTTCCTACTACTGCTAGCTAAACAGAGACGTGTGGAGTAAGGAAATTTGCCCAACATTTCACTCTGCCGGGAATTGAACCCAGGTCTCTCGCTTGCGAGGCGAATGCTCCAACCACTGAGCTACAGGACTCCACATTAGTGCCTTCAGGAGGGCAATGCAAAGCTATGTGGCAATAGCTGATTAAAGATAAAAGGTGGAAGGCAAACTAGGTGGATTTTGGTCTTTTTCCATCTAGCATTTCTTATGTTCTTATGTTAAATAAAAACAGCATGCATACTCCAGGGTCTCTAAGCCTTGGCCTAATAGTTTCTGGTATTAAGAAAGCAGGGTATGTCATTCCAAGGGAATATTATGGATTTAATTTCAGAGAGGATTATTTCCATGTGTAGGTGGCATACAAATGTGGACAGTTGACCAAAACAATCCCTCTAATTTTCTCCTTCTCTTATCTGAAGGTACTGATCCATGCTGGGGTATGTTTCCATAGATGTTAGAGTTTTTCCAATCATTGCTTGTATCCTCAAAGTTAGTAAACTCTACTCATTCGCCATCCCTGGCTCCCTGTTTCTGAATGGATCAACTTCAAGATCCTCATCCTCACATACATATCCCTTCACACTCTAGTACCTTTCTACCTCTCTGACCTGCTCGCTTCACTACACCTCTAATCTCTCCAAATCCCTGCCTCAATCGTTCCGCCTCGCTCTCTCTTGATCTATCTTTAAATCCCATCTGAAGCACTATCTCATCAACCTTGCCTATAGTCACCGTGCTCTCACCCTTCTCCTTTGCGCCCTGGCTTTAATCACTCTTCTTGGTATTCTGTTCCAGTTGCTAATTACCCTCTGAGAAAAGAAATACTTCCTGGTGTCCTTTGGAACCCTAATAGTTATCCTTTGGATACAACATTTGATAAAATGCCCTTCACGTCAAGAGGACATCTGAAAGCACTTGCCAGGATATAAGTGTAACACTTTAATGAAATACTTGAGGTGCACTATTGGAGATGAGATCCTTTGGGTCAGATGTTAAACTGAGCACCCTCTGCCTATTCAGGTGGATGTTAAATGTTCCATGGCAATATTCAAAAAGTCAAAATACCAGGAAGGATTTCTTTTCTCAGAGGCCGTGGCCAAAAACCCCCAAGTAAAAAAATTGTCATTCACTTCAAGGTTGTTTGTGAGACATTGCTGTACGCAAATTGGCTGTTGTGTATGCCTACAAAATACATAGTCACTAGACTTCACAGTAAATCCTGTGAAGTGCTTTGAGATGATGTAAAAGCTGCTATATCAAATGCACAATTTGCATTTATATATATAGCCCTCTTCACATAGGATGACATCTCGGAGCCACTGATGAACAGAATTAACTTCACCATCAGCTCTTTAACTGTAACTGGGCAGTTTAATTTTAGAGACATGAAGCAAATGCTTCCTTCTCTTTGCAGTCACACCTGGAGACAAATACTTTATTTTACACTTGTTAGGAAATCACAATAGCAGACATCATTTTGTACCTTTCAGCTTCCATAGCAATAATTCTTTTTATTTAATTTCTTCCCTGAGCTTACATTTACTGTAACATGATATTGAAATAGAAATAACAGGAACAATGATGTCCAAATGGGACAGCACCCTGTTGCTTGTTTAGTATCTACTCTTATGAAACAGTATTATGACAGGAAGACAATGTTCCATATTTTGTGTTCTTCGATATTCATTCTTATGAAACTCGAGTAAGGAGCTGAGATATGAGATGAAAAATTTCCTGTGCAAGGAAAGGATTGGAATGGGTGTGTAAGGAAAGGATTGGAATGGGTGATCAAAATGTCATATGTGACATGCAGTAGATATATAACATCTGCACATTTATGATTTGCTCCTATGATTGTATCATAAAAAGATTGACATATAGTCCTGACAATCATCTAGATATTTCTTTGTGGACATGTAGAGAGTTATAAACGCTACCTGTATAGTGGCTGGTATTGTCTGTAGCTGGGAGGATTCTGATTTCATTACATTTCACCTAAACCACAAGAGATTTCTTAGACCTTTCCTAGACTTTTAACAATCACAGGTCTCCCAGTAACTGTTTGAGGAAAACACTGCACAGAATACATTCTCACTGACGGCTTTCACCATGAGTAATATACATCTGTTATAACCCTGAGAAGCCATGATCCTGCTAGTTGATGGTTAAATGGTGGATCTGACTTTACGTATGTAGGCAACAAGAACTCTATCGGATGGTTGAGGAAGAGAAAGCGTAAGTCCTACCTCCAGCATATTGGGTATGTTCCTAATCAATCCATTATGAATTTCTTGGATCCCAGTCAGGTGGTGAACACAGTGAGCAAGGATGAATCAGAGGGCACTTGTGCCACTCCTAATAATAATAAAAAAAATCCTTGCATTTGATAGAACGCCTTATCACGTCATTGAGATGTCTCAAAGCGCTTCACGGAATATATTGTAAAATACTGTGTATTTTGTGGGCGAAACATCCTAGTGGCTGGTTAGAGTGGCTTTGACATAGATCTGGGTGCAGATGCATGGGTGCACAGGAAATCACACTTCAGAACTTATCAGAGCCCTGAGGAGAGGAGGTGAGGGGGATAAAATTCGGAAAGTGTCAATTGAAAGAAAGAGGTCTGGTGCTACATGTGAAACCTATCAATTCATAGCTCTGTCACTCACCTCTTTCTTGTGATACAAGATTGAGAAGATTGTGCACAGTCTCCATCAGTTCCAGTTGTTGCTTTTGCAGGCTGGTGTTATTCACAGTAGCTCGGTTCAGCTGGGCTTCCAACTCATCAATGACGTGGCTCTGACGGTTCACCAGCTCCTGGAGACTTGCTTTCTCTTGCCTTAGTGTCTTGAGCTCTTCTTCATGTCGATCTTCCATTTCTATAAATTTCTGCTCCAGAAAGCTGAGGGGAAACCACAGCAGATGTTGTGGTTGTAGTTACCCACTACACAGATTTAAATTTTTACACAAATATATCACGGCTGCAAATAGACAGTTATTAATAGTCACTGAAGTTGGTGTCATGGCATTGCATAAGGAATTTAAAGCCAATCATTTCCAGGCATATTGGAGTGAAAAATGAAGCATGTGATGTGATCACACTGTGGGACATTCCACTCCTGGAGGTGTCTCAGATGATCAGTGCTGCAGGTAAACAATCACCACCAGCCCCCACTCCTCCTCCACACATATGCTCACTACCGCAACTGTGCTCAAATGATTGTGCATAAAACTGGTTGCATCTTGGAAGCTAGACCTTCATATGAAGGAAAGGGCAATAGAAGGGTATAGGAGGGAATAAGGAATACGTTGAGACCCTTTTGGAGTACAAACAGCAGCACTTGAGCCGAGTGGCCTGTTTCCGTGCTGTACATTCTTTGTAAATCCATTGAGCCAGCCAGGATTACCTTAGAACTTGCCACTGCATAGAGATCCAAGTATTTCAGTTCCGGTTTGACTGCCTTAACTCAACTTTTAAAGTGGGTTTAGGAAGAACTATTTGAACAAGTCCATTCCTTCTAGACTTTGTAGCTATCAACTGAGTCATCTCCATTTGCAATAGCCTCCAATATGATAATTATTTTGTTTACCTGCAAACAGGAGTCCTGTAGCTCAGTGGTTAGAGCACTCGCTTTGCAAGTGAGAGACCTGAGTTCAATTCCAGGCAGGGCAAAACCTTGGGCAAGTTTCCTTACTCCACACGCCTAATAATAATCCCTCCACAAACCAAAAACAATAAAATTGGTCATTTTCAATCTACGACTGTTTGTGGGACATTGCTGTGCCCAATTGGCTGCCACGTTCGCCCACAAATATACAGTCAATTCACTTTACAGTGTATTCTGTGAAGCGCTTTGGGACGTCCTCCTGACGTGAAAAGCGCTATATCAAATTCAAGGATTATTATTATTGTTAAAATATAGTCACTATACTTTACAGTTAAGTCACCTGAAATACTTTGAGATGTCCTCCTGATGTAAAAAGCGTTATATCAAATGCAATTCTTCTTCTTCTTCTTCTACTTATTATTATTATTATTATTATTATGCCCATTCACAAATTAAGAGAAAAATGCAATGTTACTGTGATTTGAAGCTCAGATGCTTTCCCATGTTGTGCACTGACAGTAATGAGTCAGTGAGCATCTGGTCTCCATTTCACTAATATATCAACTTGATGAATGTATTTCAGTGTCAGAATCAACATCTTATCTTCTCAGCAGCGACCATGACATCAGTACATCCTCAGTACGCTTAGTCATGTCGCCAAGAGCTGCTGCTGCTGAATTAATAAGAGGTTGTCAATGGGAATGTTTAGCTTGCAAGTTAAACATTCCTAATGGAAAGAAATCATTTGCTGCCAAGTGTTTCACATAACAGTGGATTTTTGAGTCCTTTGTGAATGGTTACTTTGAACAGTTTGCAATTAGTGAGACCTTCATTTTGAACTTGCAGTATCACATTGAAATGATTCAAAGTGTTTCGCTGGTCAAGTATAATGACTCTTTTTATGTGATCAAAATTACGGTATACGTATCCTAGGAAAAGAATATCAGCTGGATCAAGATTTGTTCTATTTAGGTAACATTTCAGAGCGCCCCAAATTTTACAAATGCTTGAATAACCTTAACGTTGAAGCCAAGTTTTCTTTTAGAACTACAGCAAACCGACTTCAAAGTTAAGGCTGAATTCAACAATTTAGCAAATTCTGGATGCATTGAAATGCTCCATAAATAGAGTAAAACACAAGATCCAAGTGGAATTTCTCCCCATCTATTCCTTGCAGAATTCATTTACGATTAAAGATACTACAGTTTTGACGCTTTATGTGAAAAGCTCTGAGTAGACAGGGTTTCTGTTATCGTGCTGGATCATACTGTTACTATTTAATTATAATAATCCTTGAATTTAATACAGTGCTTTATCACTTCTTTGAGATATCTCAAAGTGCTTCACAGAATATACTGTAAAGTGAATTAACTGTATATTTTGTGGACGAATTTCTGTAGCCAATTGCACAGCAGTGTCCGACAAACAGTTGGGGATTGAGTGACCAAATTAATTATTTTATATATTTATTGATTGATTGATTTTTTGGAAGGGATTACCCCCAGAAAGCGATTCGCCAATTGACTAACAACCAGGTTCCGACTTACTGTTAGGTAATCAGAGGAGTGTGGAGTGAAGAAACTTTCCTAACATTTCGCCCTGCTTGGGAATCAAAACCAGGTCCTCTTGCTTGCGAGGCAAGTGCTCTAACCAATATACTACAGGACTCCACAGGGAAGGGTTCATACTGTTCTAATAAAAAAAACAGCAGCAGGTCAGTCAGCATTTGAAAGGTTTAATATTTCAGCTATGGCATCAATAGAGGATTACATTAGTCTATCTTTTTCGATCAAATGCTGACTGACTTAATATGGATTTATGGCAATTCTGCTTTTGCTTAAGTGGTTCTAAACTATTACACCATCCAGGGATTCTTTACTGTTAACAGCACATAACATCAAAGCATAAGGTTCAAAATGGTTGCTCATCATCTTACACAGACCCAAAATAGTTCAGCAAAAACACACACAGACTGAGCTACCACTAAACTCAGAATTTCCCTAGCAGCCACCAACAGTTCCATGGAAAGTTCACACAAACTAATCAGCACAATACCCTTGGGCAAAACCACCTGAACTAGTTGCAATAGATCACTAAGTAAATCACTAGGTTGTTTTTTTTAGCCTGGAAGAGAACAAAGACTGTTGGTTAAAGTAGAATCATAATATTACAGTACATTTTAATTTAGCCCATCTTATCTGCGTTAACTCTGAAAGATTTAACAATTTAGTCCCACTTCCCTGCCTTTTCTCCACATCCCTGATAACAGACTGATTCCATTATAGTGTACTTTGAAAAAGTGTGGGTCTGCTTGCAGTAAGTTTCGTAAGTTTATAATAAGCTGCATTCTGGTTTAAGAAGACTGGAGGTGCATTTTTAGATTGCAGCATTGCCTGGTACATAACAATCATGCACTCTGTGGACAAGAAATGGCATCAAATCAATTCATATGATGCTCAGAGCATTCATAGGAAATTATGTTAGTGGCAACCTGATCCGACAACCTGGAAGTGATAATCAGTGGCCATTTTCCTAAATTTTCCATTGTAATGCAGGGTATGAGTTTATTATTGTAACTATAATTCTATTATATCTATTATTCTCTTATAACCACCATGTTATGATATAGACAGTCTGTACATTTTTTCTTTTATCAAATAATTATTTAGTATTCTGCGAAAAGCTATTATGGGTTATGATTCAACCATGTTTTGTGAAAGGGGCATATATATATTTTAAAAAATTCTAACCTAATCTCTTTCTAAGTTTTAATTTTAGTTTGAATCATGCTGTTATTTTCCCAATTGCGTTTTTCTAGAGGGATCTTATGTCTGGCCCTTTCTACTGTGCGTACCTCAACTCTGGACCAGAGACACTCAAGTACAAAGCTATTCCTTCATAATTCAGTCAGCTCTCATGTCACCCTTCCAAAATCAGGACCCTCCACTCATTGCAAGATAATTACAATTTCTTGGTCATTAGTAAATTTAATCAGAGAAGAAGAGGTATATGAGTTCAGGGAAATATTCCAAGGAACTGCTCCTCCGATCCCTCATGACAGAGGACCCAAATACCTTTGAGTATCACCAATTATAAAGAGAAGAAATCTTTCATTGCAATAATCATAAAACTGTTATCATATGCATGTTTTGCCACCATATCACAACCATGTGTACCATTCAATCAATATATTCCACAGATTACTAGTGATACAAAGGTATAGATACAATTTCCTATATAACTTCCTGCCATTTTTACTGCAACATTCTCACTTTGTAATCTATTCTAACACACTCTCAATCTGTCAGGATTTCTAATAAATAATAATAATCCTTGCATTTAATATAGAGTCCTGTAGGTCAGTGGTTAGAGCACTCGCTTTGCAAGCGAGAGACCTGAGTTCAATTCCAGGCAGGGCGAAACCTTGGGCAAGTTTCCTTACTCCACATGCCTAATAATAATCCCTCCAAAAAACCAAAACAATAATAAATTGGTCATTTTCAATCTACGACTGTTTGTGGGACATTGCTGTGCGCAATTGGCTGCCGCGTTCGCCCACAAATATACAGTCAATTCACTTTACAGTGTGTTCTGTGAAGCGCTTTGGGACGTCCTCCCGATGTGAAAAGTGCTATATCAAATGCAAGGATTATTATTATTATTATTATTATATTGCTTTTTTTTCTTGAGGGATTATTATCAGGTATGTGGAGTAAGGAAACTTGCCCAAGGTTTCGCCCTGCCCGGAATTGAACCAAGGTCTCTCGCTTGCAAGGTGAGTGCTCTAACCACTGAGCTATAGGACTCAATAACTTGCCAGTTTAATAAATACTAGCAAACCTTCAGAACTAAGATGCCTTGGTTCATGGTATGATGGTTTCTGAGAGAGAATCTATCAGCGATGTTTGGTATTGAGCAGTCCTAAATTTAGCCCCAAATTGCCTATTAGCAGTGAGCACGACTGATGTTCAAAATTATGCCAAAGCTCCAAAGTGCTATTTGTCCAGAGTTTATAAATGGTAAATTATAAACTCATCTGTCAAAATAACACACTGCTAATGTTTGCTTAAGTCATCCTGGAGATAAACCAATTTTAATTTAGAAAGATAAAATATCATATTTTCATTTTCTGGGAGCATTTTTCAAAACAAAGAACATTAGGAATGTCATTTATGATGTTTTTCTGACTGTGTTTTCCCCTTTTTAAACCCAGGAGAAATAGAACTTCTCCAATAGCACAGAACAAAGACACTAATCCAAACAGAAATAAAGGAGGTTCTAAAGATATTGGATC